AATTATGCAACGTCTCGTCCGGATGGATATAAGTGTAGTACGCTTTCCTGTGCGACTCTCAACAGGCGATTTTAAAGCTGAAAAAAGCGCGTCGGATTTACCGGTCGCGCCTGCGCGGTCCGCGCCGGCCTGGGCGCTTCATTGTTTTCCTGTTGTTCGTACGACCAACAGTGCGATAAATTTTCTCGTGTATTCTTCTTTCGATCGAGTTTTCAGGATGGGAAAATCGGCACATAAGTCAAGGAAGAGGAAGAGGTCGTCGTCAGGGGATCGACTTACGAGGTTGGAGGAAAAACTATCACGCTTGATCAGTGTATTATCAAGGAATGAGGTTAGAGCGCTCGGCGTTCCCTCTCCTTCAGCATCCGCGTCCTCTCTCCCCGCACATCAAAGCGACCAAGAGTCGAATGGCGATGGAGATCAGGAAGGACAAATGGGTCCGCACGACTCAGGTGTGTACGAACATCCCGGATCTGTAAATCAGATGGAGGAGTCGACACAACCTTTTCTGACTAATCAGAATAACCTCTCGTCTTTCGCAGCATTAACACCCACTCCTCCCAAGACTATAATTCTTGAGGAAACTGAGACTATCGAAGAGGTACCAGACGAGACTTCGGCGGATACCCTATCCAAGGAACTTTTCGGTTCCGAACCGGAAGGATCAAATACCCTTCCCTGGAATGAGCTGGTCATTCAGAAATGGCGTGATCTCTCGCAGAAGGGCCTTCCCCCGGAACAACGGGAGACCCTACTTAAGCAATATTGTCCGTCGGAAGAAGCGGCTTTTCTCAAAGCCCCCAGGCTGAATCCTGAGTGCAGATCAGCTCTCAAAAAATAACGCCATCGTAAAAAGGGACGATTATGGTTGTACAAACCAAGATCAGGTAGGCGCGGCGTTATTTGCCATGGGAGAGGCCATTTCGACATTTCTCAAACCAGACACGCAACATTCTCTGAACTCTGAGGCTCGGATGGCGGTCGCAAAGGTTAACGACGGGGCTAGAATTTTAGCAGATCTGTTCTATCGCCTCTCCTTATCTAGGAGGGCTTTAATTAAACCATCTTTTAATATCCTGGCCAAAAAGACAGCCGATGCCATTCCGGCAGATAACCTGCTGTTTGGGGCTTCGTTCGGCGAGGAAATAAAGAAAGCGACCACGATGGAGAAATCCTCCAGGGACATCGTCAACGCACCCTTGACGATCTCAAAAAAGGTGCAACAACCGATCAGGCTAACAGCGCAGACTACCACTGCTAAGTCGGGAAACTCCCGCGCCCCTGTATCGAGATCGAGATCGATGGCGACGAGGAGGACAGGGGCGTCGAGCAGCAGTCGCCGATCATCGAATCACCAGGAATCCCGGTCGAGGAGGCGTTAAACAAGGAACAGGTAAATGTTGCCGGCAGACTAGCTGGTTTCCTCTCCAAATGGAGGGAAATTACTTCGGATCCAATGATCCTTCGATCCGTGGCCGGGTACAATCTACCCTTCAGGTACCACCCGCCTGTCCAGGAGGTTGAGCCCAGTGTTCATCTATCGGAAGCAGAGGAGCTAATCTGTCAGCAGGAAATTAACAGACTCTACATTAAGGGAGCAATCGAAGCGGTATCGGATTGTAAAGGTCAATTCTTGTCACCTTTTTTCGTAATCAAGAAATCATCGGGAGGCTGGAGGTTTATCCTCAATTTAAAGAGCCTCAACAAATTCATCATCGCCCCACATTTCAAGATGGAGGATTGGAAGACGGTTACCCATCTCATCTCGCCTGGGGACTTTCTCGCCTCAATCGATTTACAGGACGCATACCTTCTCGTACCTGTCTGCCCAGAGGACAGAAAATTTCTGCGGTTCCGCTTTCAGAACAGACTTTTTCAATTCAGGGTTCTGCCGTTTGGCCTTGCTTCAGCCCCCTATATCTTTACTAAAATTTTAAAACCGGTAATATCCTCTCTGAGGGAGAAAGGGTTTTTCTCAGTCGTCTATCTGGACGATTTTCTGATTATCGCATCTTCCTACGAAGATTGCTCAAAGAATGTTTCTACAACACTAAACCTCTTGACTTCTCTCGGGTTTGTAATCAACGAACGTAAGAGTGTTCTTACCCCGTCAAAATCTTGTCGCTTTCTGGGCTTCATTTTTGACACAGAACACTTCTCTGTCTCTATTCCTGCGGACAAAAGAAACAAATTGCTTGAAGCAACTCTTTCTTTTCTAGACAAGACATCATGCAGAATTCGGCTGTTCGCAAGTTACATCGGTTCCTTGATCTCAGTTTGTCCGGCGACCCAGTACGGGATTCTGCATACTAAGATCATGGAGAGAGCAAAATTCCAAGCTCTCACAACCGCAGAAGACAATTTTGAGGCTCAAATGACCCTGCCTCCCTCAATAAAGGAAGATCTTCTGTGGTGGAAAGACGTGTTTTCTGACGCTTCCCAACGTAATATTATCAGATCGGGCCTCTTTAGGATGGAGATTTTTACAGATGCCTCCCTGACGGGATGGGGGGCTGTTTGCGGTGAAAACCGCACCCATGGATTTTGGTCAGCAGAAGACAGACAAAACCACATCAATTATCTAGAACTGTTAGCAATTTTTCACGCCTTGAGGTGTTTTGCGTCACATTTAAAAAATTGCGACATCCTACTAAGGGTGGATAACTCCACCGCTCTGTCCTACATTAATCGCATGGGTTCAATTAAGTTTCCTCACTTGTCAGACCTCGCTAGAAGGATCTGGTGTTGGTGTGCGGAGCGTAATTTATTCATATATGCCTCATATATTCCTTCCGCTCAAAACATCGACGCAGATGCAGAATCACGTGTCATCTCAGAAGAGACGGAATGGACATTAGAGCAGAGTTATTTTGACAGAATCGAGTCTTATTTCGGAACGTTTGACATCGATCTCTTCGCATCGTCTATCAATGCAAAATGTTCCAGTTTTGTGTCTTGGTTGCCGGACCCACTAGCACTTACAGTGAACGCATTCTCCGTCGACTGGAGTGGTTTTTATTTTTACGCGTTCCCCCCCTTCGTTTTAATTTTAAGAGTTCTGCGTAAGATTATTACGGATAAGGCGGAAGGTGTGGTGGTGGTCCCCTGGTGGCCAGCCCAACCATGGTTTCCTCTATTTAACCGACTTACTATCAATAAACCTGTTTTCTTCGAACCAGACATTAACATGCTATCATCTCCTTTCAGGAAGATCCATCCGGCTTGGAACAGAATTCCCCTAGTAGCCGCGAAATTATCCGCCAAGCATTCGTAATCAGGGGAACGCCTGCAGCGGCTATGGAGGCGACGCTCGCATCCATTACACAGTCCACGACGACCCAATATTCTAAGCCTATTAGATTGTGGTGGCAGTATTGCAAACGGTATCAGATTGACTGTTTCCGTCCGCCCGTGGCATCAGTATTAGAATTTTTATCTGCAGCTTTTTTAGAGGTCGGTTCCTACTCCTCCCTAAATACTTATCGCTCAGCCATTTCCCTCCTTTCCTCGGAGGGGGTGGGCTCTCACCCACTGGTGAAAAGATTTTTTAAGGGAGTCGCAGTTCTGAAGCCACAACGTCCACGTTACAATTTTATTTGGGACCCATCTCCGGTAATTTCCTATTTAGCGACACTATACCCTTACGAAGATCTCCCGCTGGAGACCATATCTAGAAAACTGGCAACTCTTCTCGCACTTACTACCGCTCAGAGAATGCAAACCTTAGCGGCTATACAACTGTCAAACATTACGTTTACAGATTCACTAATAATTAAGATCTCAGCTAGACTTAAAACTTCCGGGATTGGAAGGCCCCAACCTTTGCTTACTTTTAAGCCTTTTGTAGATAAACCGGAATTATGTATTTTCTCGCTGGTAAAAACCTACTTGGATCGTACACGTGAACTTCGAGGCGGGAATTGCGACGCCTTTTTCATTTCTGCTCGTTCTCCGTTTACCTCGGTCTCATCCCAGACCTTAGGTCGGTGGGTCAAGACGGAACTAAATAGGGCAGGTATAGACACTTCTATTTTCACCGCTCATTCCACTCGCCATGCATCAACATCCCTTGCGGCCAGCAAGGGCATCAGTGTTGACGAGATCCGACGTACCGCAGGCTGGAGCAGCTCCTCGGACGTCTTTGCCCGTTTTTACAATCGCCCGATTGTCAAAGACCCATCTTTTCAATCTGCTATTCTCAATAACGTCTAATATAAAGTTTATATCTCGAAAATTGTTCACATGAATTGAAATAAAGCGCTAGATAGCAGCTATTATTTCTACTACAAATCTGTGCTTTAAATGTCTACACTTATATCCATCCGGACGAGACGTTGCATAATTAAGAGATTGAACGAACTTACCTTAGTGAAGTTCGATCATAATTATGCTGTCTCGTCCGGATGGAGACTCCCACCCACCCAATTCCCGAATTCAGATTTGTAGCTTTAAAGATATGAAGCGCCCAGGCCGGCGCGGACCGCGCAGGCGCGACCGGTAAATCCGACGCGCTTTTTTCAGCTTTAAAATCGCCTGTTGAGAGTCGCACAGGAAAGCGTACTACACTTATATCCATCCGGACGAGACAGCATAATTATGATCGAACTTCACTAAGGTAAGTTCGTTCAATCTCTTAATT